ATGGGATGAGCTGTGAACTTTCTCATGCTCGGGAAAACAGCTTTGTTGGGAAGGAGGGGTGTAGAAGGCAGCGTGTCCGAGGGCACAGGAAGCTCAGGGCTTCCCAGGCCCTCTGGTCCTTCCCGATATTCCCAGCCCCATGGATTCTCTCTCTATCTCAATGCTTTCCATTCATACATGGTTTTCCCTTGACTACACAGGGCTTGCTGTGGCTCGGCATTAGCGAGGGCCCCCTGGTGTTCCCATTTCCCACTGCAACTGTAACTGAAACGTGTTAGCAAGTAAGGGACCATTGGAGGCCAATTTGCCAGGACAAACTGAGCCAGGAAGAACCTTGTCCTACCTGAAAACTGGGAGGCTTTCCTCAGTTCAGAAAGTCTAGACTGCATCTGTTTATATCTCTATGTATATTTGATATCATTGCTTTTCCCTCCTCTGCCTTATTCCTCAGCCAGGATCTGGGTCTCTAACATCTTTTTAAACCCTGCAGGCTTGTCCTGAAAATTCATGTGAGCTCCATGTGCACATGAGAGGGCTGAAATTTTGGGGTTTTGAATTTGCCACCAGTATGTCGAACCAACAGGACCCATGTGGTATAAACAGAAAGAATCTTTATCATCGTGTCTCATGTCCCTTCCAATTGAATTAGAGGGTGAAGTTCTAGCCCCAGAGAAAACTTGGGCAGTCCCATGACTTCTGTCATCACACTTAGATCCTAAAAGTCCCCTAACCACTTGAGGTCACGGAAGGACAGAGTTTTAATTCAGAAATAGAAGAGTAGATCCCCATATGGATATCAAAATGGATTTGACATTGACATCTTACTCTCCACCCCTGCTCCAAGCTGGTAAGGGATGAACCTGTTGCAGGAGAGAGAAATGGGGGTGCCATCCTTCTTTCCTCTCTCCCTCCCTGGCACTCCTCCCCTCCCCGCAGCTTGCTAAGCGTGGTTTCTAGACCTCCGACTGGGTGGGCACTGGGATGGGAAGGGAAGCCGGGGTTAGGAAAGTTTCTGGCTCCGGCATAAGATTATGTGACCCTTGGGATGGGCAGGTGTTTAAGAGTTGATTCTTTCTCCCACAGACTGCCTTGTAGTCATTGGACACATCCCTGGGAATTTTTAACATAAGCTCTGGGATTTTAAAGAAATGCATTTTCCCTGGCTGACAGCTTCCCACCAGCTTCTGTTGACTGGCGTCCCCGGTACACACATTTGCTCATGGGGTCCCACAGACAAGCTCCACCCGGGCAGTCTTCTGGGGCAAGGTTAGAAATCCTCCAGTCAGTACTCTCTCATCTGGCCCATGGAGAAGAAATCCCACAAAATCAACTCTCATGACCCTCGTTAGGTGACCCTAACTATCTGAAAGTAGACCCATCCTAAAGTAGTGGCAGTTTTTCTCTACCTCACCCCCAAAGCAGCCAACTGGCCAGTCTCTTGTCCCCTGATTTCCTGGGTGAGAGTCAGATCCCAATGCACAATGCTTCCTGAACCATGGTGACTGTCTCAGGCTTACATGACAACTATATCATCAGTGACATTGGCATTGCTCTTACTGGGCTTGAGAGACTAGCACCCACCATGCCTTCCCCACCCCCACAATCCAGGGTAGGTGGCACCAGCAGCCGTCAACAAAGAAGTATCCCCCTAACTGTCGTCAGTCTAATCTCTTTGTCCCTGGTGCAGGTGAGGGGTCTCAAGAGTCAGGATACCTGTTTTTACAGTGCCTTTGTAAATTCTGCACATCCAAGATCTCTGGGCTCCTGCTTCCATGGAAACTTCCAATTTGCTACCTTGGCAAAACATTATTCTATTTCACAATTTAACCCTATTTAGTTTGCCTTGAACTACACCCAAGGTAAGGTAGAACTCTCCAGGGGATTTAAGCAGCTTGTCTACAGACCTCACATCCTGACTTTCCCCCACAACCTGGTATCCCTGGTTAAGGTATGACTATCAGAGCCCCAGACCCTGTGGGAGGTGGATTGTCAGGGTCAAGAAACTTCTCTAAAGGACAAAAAAGGGAATATTTTAGAATGTGTGGGCCATGCAGTCTTTGTCATAATGACTCAACTCTGTCATGGGCAAAAGCCACTTAACCAATTGGTGAACAATTGAGCGTGGCCATATTCCAGCGAATTCATGGTGCAGGCATGGGCCGGATGTGGCCTGTGGCTCACATTACACCCACCCCTGTATCAGATCTGTGCAGAGAGAAAAAGAGAGTGGTGGCCCTACCTGTACTGGGATTTTACCCAGGGGCAGAAACAGAAGAAAACCCAGCAAAGTTATTGGCCCACAGGCTAGGAAAGGGAGGAACCTGCTTTGTTCAGATGTCAAGACTAAAATTTTAGTTCTGGAATTTGAAGAAAGCCCAGAAATTAAAACTGGGAAAAGATCATCTTTTTTTTTTTTTTTAATAGCAGAGTATGATGCTCAACACAAAGAAGGAGAAACAGGAAGTCCACACTGTGGTGTGTTCATGATCACCTGCCATTGTCAAGGTCAGATGGTTCCAGCATCTGTGTAGTGCCTTTTGGGCCACTGTGTGGTGCCAATGGACCCCCCTGCCTGGGCACCACCCTCACTTCCACCCTTTGCTTCATGAAAAAGTGGTTCACAAACCAGTTCGAATACGTTGCAGACGCTCTACCCTCCAGCCTTAACTGAGTGTTTCGAACACCCAGCTCCCCGGGAGCTTTCCCCAAACTAGGAAGGGCCCTGGGCCTGAGTGCTGGGAAATCAACATCCCCCAGGAGCAGCCTTCAGGCATGCAAAGTAAATACCCCAACCCCCTTACCCCTGGAGTGGGATAACTGAGGTGTGGCCTACGGTTTCTCAGAGTTTTTTAGCAGTTTTGAGCTCCAGGCGCCCCCTGTCGAAGGAGCTTGGTGATGTACCCTTTGCTGGCATCTTCCTTTTCCTTCCCCACTCCCTGCTGGAGCTTCTTGTACTTTCCAAGTAAACCCTTGGCTCTCCTGTCCTTGCCCAGGCACTGCTCTTGGGGGAACCCAACCTAAGCAGAATGCCACTCTCTCTGTGTCCTTTGTGAAATGTCTTCATTCTGCTTTCTGCAGCACGGTCCCTGGGTCGCCTGTCACATTTCCTCATGGTCATTTGAGTCAGATGGGTCTCTTCCACTGAACAATGAGTGAGTTTTCTAGAAATGGGTCTCGTTTGATTTTGTTTGCATCACC